GTCGGGGACTGCCTGTACTTTTCTTCTCTCTGGCCACTGCTCTCCAGAAAAACCTGCTGAGTTCCTTAAGCAAAAACTGTGTATGTGGGGGGAATACAAAAGAAAATAAGTGACTGGCACCACTGCACTGCATTCTAGCTTTCACAGTCTCTTCCTGTCCTCCTGACTCTCACAACAAATCTGAGAGAGAAGAGTTACCACGTTTCCTGCTGCTATTCACACAGCATCACTGGACTGCCTGAGTGGGGTGATGAACCATGAACAGAGGAGTTTTGTACTCAGGAATCACACACTGATCTGCACCTTCTCTGGTAGCACACAGGTTGTCCAATCACCTGTTTATGACATTAAGCTACCTACAATAATCCTTCACCTTCCACCTGTAACGTGTTCCTTTCAATCTGTAATACACACATGTGGCTGCGTCTAGACTGGCAAGTTTTTCCACAAAAGCGACCGCTTTTGCGGAAAAACTTGCCAGCTGTCTACACTGGCCGCTTTGAATTTGCGCAAGAACACTGACGATCTCATGTAAGATTGTCAGTGTTCTTCCGCAAATACGACTCTCCTGTTCGGGTAAAAAGCCCTCTTGCACAAATGCTTTTGTGCAAGAGGGCCAGTATAGACAGCTGAGAACTGTTTTGCGCAAAAAAGCCCCGATGGCGAAAATGGCGATCGGGGGTTTCTTGCGCAAAACCGCGTCTAGATTGACACGGACGCTTTTCCGCAAAAAGTGTTTTTGCGCAAAAGTGTCCGTGCCAATCTAGGCGCTCTTTTCCACAAATGCTTTTAATGGAAAAACTTTTCCGTTAAAAGCATTTGTGGAAAATCATGCCAGTCTAGACGTAGCCACAGATTCCTCTTACCTTCACCTTTAACCAGCATGACTCTAAGATACACAAGAGACGTGAAGAAATGAACAGGAGTAGAAACTTGGGGTTTCTTTCTATGACTGGCAGCTTAAGCCAGTTCTGTCTGGGATTATTACTTTGTCTTGCTGTTAAGACCAATTGACATTCTTGGTGATTATCCTGCTACGTCTTCTTCCTGCTTTTCTTCCCCCCCCCCATCAGTTCAGAGGGGCCAGGCAGGCGATGTAATTGGAAAGGTACCTTCAGCTGTCTCTGAGGATGCTTTCCTGATGGAAGGGACAACCACAGCTACAACAGGTATTAACTCCACAGAGCCAGACATGATACCCACTGAAAACGATCCCGCAAGGACAACGGAACAAAGTAAGTGTAGAACAAATGAAAGACTTTTTCTATTTGACTTAAACCACATCCCTGTTCCTGTACTCAACAGCCCAGGGCCCAATGTTTCCCAAGGTCATGTGGAATGGCAGTATTCCCTCCCTAGATTTATGGACCTGCTAGAACAACACTAGATTTACTCACAATAGCCTGTCACTATCCAGAGTACTGATCAGCACAGTCTACTGACTAAGGCTACAAGCAGGTCATGTTTGGAACAAATTGCTGCCCACCTGCAAACCGCACACATTTTGAAGGATTTCAGTCACATTGCTGGCTCATAGCCTACACTTGTTGATATGCTACTGAGCCTGGAGCAAGGGGCGCAATCTCTTGTCTTTGTGCGACTCTTTCGAATGCAAGTTAACATGCATCTCATGTGATCTGCAGGGACAAACTTTACGATAGGAGAAGTGAGCCCAGCTTCCTCTGTGGTATCCCCAGAAGTGACACTCGCTGAGGGCGGGCCTGATGAAGCTGTCAGACAAGGTAGATATACTGGTTTTCTTCGTTAACTCGAATGAAAAATAGGTCATGCTTTACAGTGAAGGTGCATTGCCAAATGGTTAGGCTGTGATAAGCATGTGACAGACATGGCTAGCGTGTGTTATTGAGGGTTATAAGCACATCAGCAATGATGTAGTAACTTCTCTAACACCTCTTGCTGAAGTGTGTTAACCATCTGTAACAGGATTGGACTAACATTCTACACTTCACCATTTATTAACACGAGTAGCTCTCGTTATAAAACTATTTGTCAATGCACCTTTAAAGTAAAAGGTGGATAAAAATGGACTCTGAGGAAGGATTTCCCCTCGCTTTGTTTTTAAGCACATTTAATGTTCAGTCTAAATGACACTTTGTTGCCTGCAAGTATCAGAGGCAGTAAAAGGACTTTTTCCCTCCCAAACACTCCCTCTGCCCCTTGACGGCTCCACTCTCCTCCCAGGCTTCCCATCTCAATATTAATTTCAGCACCTCTGTGCAGAGTTTTAAGAGTTCTCCTAGAAGGTTGAGAGCTGTCTTTGTTGCACACCCCAGGTCTCAGCAAACCTTGACAATGTTGCCTGCAAGTATCAGAGGCAGTAAAAGGACTTTTTCCCTCCCAAACACTCCCTCTGCCCCTTGACGGCTCCACTCTCCTCCCAGGCTTCCCATCTCAATATTAATTTCAGCACCTCTGTGCAGAGTTTTAAGAGTTCTCCTAGAAGGTTGAGAGCTGTCTTTGTTGCACACCCCAGGTCTCAGCAAACCTTGACAAGATATAGATTGCCTGAAGCCAGAGAGCAGGAGCCACACAAATGATTTAATTATTTAAGCTAATGTTTTTAGAGAATTATTCATAGTCTGGTAGTGCCCAGAGCCTCCAGTCTGGGATCAGGGCTGTGGAATATAAGTGGAACTGGAGAAAGAGGGTCACATTTTAGAAGGGACATAATTTGG